CACATGGCAAGTGTACAGCTGTAGCCCCTCCTAACTTCAGGGAAGTGGGAGGAACGGGTTGAGAGCCAATGAAGCCAAGTCAAACTCGGGGGTAGGAGTCACCTCTTTCTACAATCTCCAGAGAAACATAACAAAACATCTGCGTTTTGCCTGGCCGTAAGGAAAAATGGTACAAAACCATCCTAATTCACACAATTTCCTTCAGAAACCACAAAATGCTCACTGACAAAGAACTCGGAAACTGAAGAGCTCTGTGGAAACCTGGAGCTGGTAGTACTCTGAGTTTCTCTTCACACCTCGACAAAGTGCTCTCAACAGAAACGCTACCATCCCAGCCACATCTTCAGCCAAATCTCCAAGCAACAGAAAGACCAGCCCACAGAAACACAGTGCCTAGACCCTGTATATATATTCTCTGCCATACTAAGATGGGGTTTAGAGTGTAATGCACCTTAGACACCCACTAGGAAAATAAGGAAACTGCAGCTGAGAAACGTTCAACAGCTACTCGGGTACAGACGCCACAGCTTGACTCAGGGTCCCAAACGGTCTGCGCTTTCATTAAGAATTGTTTCCAGAGCATGCACAGCTTTTTGAAATAAAATATACAATTCCTGAGAAATCCTTGTGACAGTGCTCTCCACTTGGTAGGAGTAGAGAAGTTGTGAAAATAGTTAAAGTGAAGTGTGCCATTAATATGATGGAAAAGTTAAGGAACAGAATAATTACAGAGGGGCCGACCCGGTGGCACAGCGGTTAAGTTTGAATGCTCTGGTTTAGCGGCCCAGGATTTGCCAGTTTGGATCCTGGGTGTGGACCTAGTCACCACTCATCAAGCCATGCTGAGGCAGCATCCCACACAGAAGAACTAGAAGGACCTACAACTAGGATATACAACTATGTACTGGGGCTTTGGGGAGAAAAAAGAAAAAGAAGAAGATTGGCTACAGATGTTAGCTCAGGGCCAATCTTCCTCAAAAAAACAAAACAAACAATAAAAAAAGAATAATTACAGAGCAAGAAACAAAAATTTTGTGACAGTCTGAGTGATTAAGGGGCCGTGTGCTGTAAATATGTCACCATCAGTGTGTTATGAACATATTAAGAAAATTTTCCTTTACAACAAAGAGCCACATCAATAGTCAATAAAGGTAAAGCCCAAGACAATGAGAGCATCAAATTTTGAATTCCAGTATGTAGAGATCTGTGGATGAGTCAAGAACACAAAACAAAGAATCAAAGGATAAGGGAAGGCAAGGGTCTGACGAACACAAGAGCTGGGAAAGCACAACCTGCCTGGTTCTGGGACAGGTGCTGCTGCCCCAGCCACCGGATGGAGAGCTGGGATGGAACGCTGCCACAGAAGCAGGAGGACCCCTCCTCCGCCTGTTGGGGAGCACCTCCCATCCTTCCTTCCTCGGGCCCAGAGGAAAGGATGGGAGTGTGGCTGAATGTGGCTTTGTAGCCAGACACAGCGAGCCAGGAGTGGAGGCTGAGCCCCTGCAATGCTTGCTGGCCTCTCTGCAAACAAGTCCATGAAAAGGGGGTAGCAAGTGAAAATAAAAGGCAGCATGTTTTCTGTAAATACATATATTTGACTCCTATGAATACTGAGTCAAAACATCTCACATATGCTCAACCAAATGGAATAAACACCAAAGGGTCACTGCACGAGGGCGTGAGATCTGATAAATAACAAGGCTCCAGCCCCCCAACTTACACACACATCTAAGGGGTAAACTGGGAGGTGCCGTCTATAGGTGAGACAGTTTCCTCATCGTCTGCTGTGCTGACTTGAAGGAAAATTCCAAACTGAATCATTCAGAAAAACGAGAACCAGGGAGAAGGTTCCTCGTGGGAAAGAACCCTGAGATTATCAAAGGGTCCGGAAGGCAAAAACATTTTCCACGTTCAATTTCCCAGAAGCTCTTTAGAATTTTTATAGGTAATCCATTACCAGATGCCACTGTTAAAGAACAGCAAGGCATTTCCCTTGGATGAATATAGCGACAAAGGCTTTAATGTCACAAAAGGTCTCTTGAACACTAATCAGGATTTTCCATTTGTCCCCAGCAAGCCTCTTTTTGGTGCAGTTCTTCCCACTTTGAGCTGACCTCTCGCCCCACATTCCTCCACCTGCTTGTGGCAAAACAAAGACGGGGGCTCCCTTGACTGACGAGGGACCTTTGGACCATCTGAGATCCTGGAAAAATAAAACATGCACAAGGAAACATCCATCTGTGAACTCATTTTTACAACTTTGCCATCTACAAGATTAAAGGTAAAGATCCATCTGGCTCTTTTTAATTTAAAGGCATTTTACTTTATTGCAACACAGAGAACCTTGGAACCACTTTTTATTTTGGCACTATAAATGCAAAAATACATCTGTCATGCCTAAAGAAGGAAGAACCTGATAGCAGGTACGCCCCGCTCCACAGCACTGTCCCTTGCATTTCTTTAATTTCACCAAACACATATGTAGTATTTACTCTATGCCAGGAATAGTTTTAAGGGCTTTACAAATCATAACTTATTTAGACTTCGTTATGGTCCTCTGAGGTATTGTACTATCTTAGATCCATTTCAGAGATGAGGAATATAAAGCACAGAGACACTGAATGACTCGCTCAAGGTCACACAGCTAAGAGGGGGAACTAATCTGCACCAGGCAGTCCAGCTTTAGAGTCCATGCTCCCCTCTGCCATGCTGCCTCTCAGACTTTCACCAAATCTAAGTTAAGATAAACTGCGATTTGTGCAGGATCATCTTACATATTTTTATAACATTACCATTTCAATAATTAACTCATGCCATGTTACAGTTTCCTCAGATTCTTGAGGAATAACAAGAAGGAAAAGATAAATACCATCAAATACTATATTTGACCCCTTTGCAATCTTTTGGAAATGAAATGCAGGTATAGAAAACAAAAAAATAGTGTCCTGGATCTGCTGGGAAAGCTACCGTGCAGAAAGTGAAATGCTAGGAAATCGCTTGGATGTTTGAATTTTGAAACACCACAACACTGAAGAGTCTTTACACTCATGCAAATTCAGAATCGCCAAACTGGCGTATACCAGAGAAAATTTAACTACATGGTAAAGGGACACAGCACAGCTCCTAGAGGTTCTTTCTGGGGAATTCCACAGCTGATGAACCTCTAAGAGACAGAGGGAGACAGAGGAGTTTTCTCCTTGGAATTCTTTTAGCACATCTGGCAGAGCACACATCTACTCCGACGCCTCTGCCGACCGCTTGGCACTCTGCCCGCAGGGAAGGCGCTCTGCCATACGCAGGGCGCTCTGCCAGGGCAGCTGGGTCCCGGCTGGGGCTGGGCACTGTGCACACTCAGAGTACCTCAGCATTTACTTTGGGAGTGTCCTGCAAAGTAAGGCAGCAAAGAAGGAGGAAACCATCTCCATTCCTGCAAAGAATGACTCCTGTTCTACTTGGAAAAGGCGTGTGTGTTGGGCCAGGAGAAGGGTCCTCTCTTCACCCCGATTATGATAAGTCTGATCGATCGTCAGAGTGCACACCTGTGGCCTCCCACTCTGCAAATACTCTGATGCTGTGTGTAACTGGCAGAAGACTATATTCTACCAGGTCCCATTCTTCTTTTTGATCGTCTTCCCTTAACAACAACGTTGAGTAGACTAACCAGTAGGGGCACAGCAGCTTTGCCTAGCTCTTCCGTTTGCTGGCAACTGGAGTTGCCATCATCACCCTTTATAGCAGGATGCAATGGCCCACCTGTGCAAAGAGCCTGGACTGGTGGCTTGCAGGCAGCAGGTAGACGAACATTAGTCCTCCTTACTTTCCATCCCTGACCAGAGACATCAGCGTGACATATGACTACAGAGTCAGCCTGTCACCGTCCCTCTCCCTTCTTCACAAATGTCAGGACAGACATCACCTGGATTCTCAAAGACTAAACCAGCAGAGGGGCTCCTAACTTTTCTGAACTTATATGTCCTTGACTCCTCACAAGGCAGGCTCCTCCCTTCTTAGCTGCCCTCCCCCAGTCCCGAAGGACCCTTTCTCACTAGCAATGAAACACTGGGATCTACAGAACCAACTTAATTCCCGTCATCTCACCAGACATGCCAACTGAGCACTCTAAAGATGCCCCAGGGCCGGCTCCGTGGCTTAGCGGTTAAGTGAGCGCGCTCTGATGCTGGCGGCCCGGGTTCGGATCCCGGGCATGCCCCAAGGCGCCACTTCTCCGTCCAACGCGAGGCCGAGTCCCACGTGCAGCAACTAGAAGGATGTGAACCTATGACATACAACTATCTACTGGGGCTTTGGGGGGAAAAAATGAATAAATAAAATCTTAAAAAAAAAAAAAAAAGATGCCCCAGAAATTTACTTAATCAGTTGTGGATTTTTTTTCTAGGGGGAGTGGGATAAAATTTTGAGATCCAGATAAAATGCTGGGAACAAACTTCTGTGGTATGGCCCTGATTTCTACCATTAAAACATCCATTGGTGATCGTGGAAAAGGTAAAAGTCAGTGTTCTTATTACAATGTTGTTGATAGAACTTAGAACTTAAAAATGATGTTTTTTCAGAGGTGTTCTTTGATTATCCTGGGTGGTCCATTTAGAACACAGTCAATACACTCTCACTTCAAATAAAGATTTACAAATAGGCCACTTTACACAACAGGTAAGGTAAGGTTTTTATAAGTGCTTTAAGGTTCAGAGTTTATTAGTGTAAATACAGTCTAGACTCATTATCTTACCCCCATGTCAGAGCCTGGATGAGTGAGCCTGATGAGAAAACAGGAGCTGGAGACATTGGGGACAGAAGCTAAAATGAGCATCCTAGGTGGCTCTCTGTGAATATCCACAGTGGCACCTTCCTGCAGGCGGCTCAGGGGGGAAAGGGGCAGAATAAGGAGTCGGGGGCTGCAAACCCCCAGGCCTTGCTCAGTAATGGGCCCTCTGGTGTGCGAGGGAGCCGTGAGTGCTGGTGGGAGCCCCAGAGAGGATACTCACGCTGACACTGTCCCCAGGACCGGCGGGCCCAGCCCCAGCAGCAGTCGATCCTCCCACCATAACGACACAGGCCAACCGAGGACACTATCTGCCTGGGCCACCTACCAAACAAAATGATGCAAAAGAAAGAAAGACACTTTTGAAATTAAAAGTAATTTCCTCTTTGTTACTATTTTAGAAACAAAATTTAAATCAGACCCAACAATTTTCTATGAACTCCTTCATGCCTGCAGAAATTTAAGGATAAAACACCTTTGGGGAAATAGTTGTGCTGTGATATAATTTCAAATTTCAGACAGTTAAACACACACCCCACACACAGGAGTAGGGAAGAAAGGAGGGAGGCGGGATCCTTTCTTAAATGGAAACAGCACCAGCTAAAGCCAAGAATTCTCAAGGCTGCCACTCACGGGGTGGTTTCTGGAGCCTGAAATAAAACAGTCCTCAAAGACCCACACCTGTTACTGAGGGGAAAGCCCGTTTTGGCGGATTCGTAGCGAATTGAAAAGTATTAAATAAAAAACATGTCCAAGCAGAAAGAAAAAAATTCTGCCTTATATAAAGGGTAGATGTGGGAAGGGGCAGGAAGAGAGACATTCCTCAAAATCAAATGAAACAGAACTCTTGGAGATAAGACTCTGCGGGGGGAAAAAGTTCCCAGAAAAAAAATGTACTAGAAAAAGAAGTCGAAATGAAAACAAGGAGAGTTTAAAGCGCAGCTAGCATGTTGTGTCCTCGTGGTTTGAACCCTTCCCGCATCAACAACTCAGGTTATCGTCCTCTCTAATGTAAATAAGTACTGGAGAGAGGAATCAATTTCAGGATACCGATTTATCCACCAGATTCCTCTCTGACACCTTACCTGGTAAATCGTTTCCTTGTTTTCCCCCAGAGGATCAATATTTTAATTGGCTGCTTTACACATCTTTTTAAAACTACTTTAAAATCTTATGCATAATCATGTGAGGTATTTCTTGTTGCAAATGTGTGTGCAAGAAATGCACGACATACCGAATGTGGGCCCAAACTTGCTTTAATAAAATAAAATAGCCTCTGGCCGCAGCCACGTTTTCTTAAACTCTCCTAATCTTTTCAACTCCTTTTCTCTCCCCCCTTTGCCCGCAAGTCTAAAGTACAAAATAATCCCCAACTTTCTATTTCCTCCACCAGCTGGTAACTTCTCCTTGGCGCCCCGCTGGTTCCCTCGGTTCCCCTCCAGGCACAAGAAAGCCGATCAATCGTGGGGCCGATTCTTCCCAAGACCGCAGGTCAACCAGGTGCGCGCTCCTCAGGGCTGCGCGCGGAGACGCTCGGCGGGCGGGGCGCCGGGGGCGGGGGTGGGGTGGGGAGTGGGGTGCGGGGGCCGTGGGTGAGGGTTTGGTTGGAGTGGGGCTGGGGGCGCTGAGAGGGGGCTGGAAGGCGGTGTGACCCGGGCTGAAATCTCTCCTGGCTGCTCCCCCCGGGTTTCTGCGCGAGCGGCCGGGATCGGCGCCCGAGGCCAGTCTGGTCTGTGACTGCGCGGAGGTGGGGTGACCCAGCGCGCCCTCCCGACCGACACACGCGCGCGCGCACACACACACACACACACACACACACACTCGCCCGGCGGATCCGGCGGCGGAGGGCCGGCTGAGTGACAGCGGAGACGGAGCCGGGCGCTGGAACCTGTCGGAGCACGCAGCGGGCGGCTCGCCCCCGGTCCCGGGCGCTGTGCGTGCACGTGCACACTCACTCACACACTCACGCCTAGCGTTCCCTCCTCTCGGTGCTTATTTTGAGTCCCCCTCCCTGGAGAACACCAGGTGGGGAGGCGGACAGGTCCCTGGAAGCCGGGTGGCTTCCCTCCTCCGTGCGAGCGGCCCGCAGCTCCGAGCCGGGTCCAGCCCGCCCCGGGAAGTGTCCCACGAAGAGCTGTCCAAACCCCGGGCGAGAGCTCCCCAGCCCGGGGTCCCGTGCGTCACCCCGCGTCGGCGGCCCAGACGCCGGGCTCCCCCCTACCGTGCCCGGCCCGGCTCCCCCGCCGGGGCCGGACGGAGAGACGCC